TTCCTTTTTGGACTTTTTTTTGTCCTTTTTGGCCTCCCCCCCCCCCCACCCTTTTTTTTCTTGTTTTATTTTGTTTTTGTTTTTTTTTAAACCCTAGCTTATTGTGGTGCTTATTAAATATACAACAGAGAGATACGGGATGTATAAACTTAGTAGGGATGCACCTGTGATCAAACGACATATTGTATGTGAAGATGGGTTTCCCCTCCCCCCCCTTTTTTTCCCCATCTTCTCCCCTTCCCATTGTTGTCTGTGTAATGAAAAATAAAAAATAAAATAATAATAATTTAAAAAAAAAAACCTGGAGGAGCTCCCGTCGCTGACTTGTCTTGTCGACACTGGACGCACGACGTCACGTACTTCTGCACATCGTCTCATAAGCGGGGCCACCAGAACGTACGGGAGACCAGGTGTAATGTCTTGAAAAGACCAAAATGTCCTGCTGCTGGAGTGTCATGACACTGGGAGAGAACCAGTCCATGGATGGGCCCTGCAGGCACATAGAGCCATTCCCGATACCTCAAAAGGTCCTCATCAAAGGTCCACGGGGAAGCAGGCCCTACTTCCGCCTTTCATTGCTCTACCCACTCGTCGCCCCACTGTGCATCCCGTATCAGAGACTGTACATCCACAGGTTCATGAACTACAGCAAAGGATTCGACAGGTAGAACAGTCCCGGGTGGAAGCGAGTCTGCAGGGTCAGAGTACTCCAGTTTCCTAGACAGGGCATCCGCCCTTTGATTCAACGCACTAGGGATGTACGTCACCTTAAAATTGAACCAGGCAAACAACAGAGACCACCGGATGTGGCGTTGGTTCAGCTTATGTGCCATGGTCAAAAACTCCGAATTCCGATGATCCGTCCGGACCTCGACCTGATGCCTGGCCCCCTCCAGGTGATGCCTCCAGGCCTCGAATGCCACCTTGATAGCCAACAACTCCTTCTCCCATATGGTGTAATTGCTCTCGGAAGGATTGAGTTTCCGAGAGTAGTAAGCACAAGGGAAAAGGGTACCATCAGGGGCGTGAGCCTGCAGTAACACCGCACCCACCGCGACATCAGACGCGTCTGCCTCCACGACAAATGGATGATGGGGATCAGGGTGCTTCAAGATTGGCTCCTTTGTAAAAGCCTGCTTCAGGGCCACGAACGCTCGCTGCTCCATGGGACCCCAGCGAAACGGCACTTTCTTTTGCAGGAGCCGAGTGAGGGGCACGGTCAAGAAAGCAAAACTGGGGATGAAGGTCCGGTAGTAGTTGGCAAACCCCAGAAGTCTCTGCATATCCTTCATACGTCGAGGAGGTTGCCAACTACGCATCGCCTCCACCTTGCCCGGCTCCATCACAATTCCTTCAGGGGCAATACGGTGCCCCAGGAACTCAATGGTAGTCTGCCAAAACTGACACTTCTCCAGCTTTGCGAAGAAACAATGTTCTCGGAGTCGCTGCAAGACCAGACGCAAATGACGTTGATGATCTTTCCGGGACATCGAGTAGATCAAGATGTCGTCCAGGTAAATGACGACAAACTGATCCAACAGGTCCTGGAAGAGATCGTTCATAAAATGTTGGAAGACCGCCGGCGCATTGGTCAACCCGAACGGCATGACCGTGTACTCGAAATGTCCGTACCAGGTGCAAAAGGCCATCTTCCATTCATCCCCCGCCCTGACTCGAACCAGATTGTAGGTGCCATGCAAATCCAACTTCGTGAATACCGTTGCCTCTTGGAGCCACTCCAACAACTCCAAAACCAGGGGCAGTGGGTACCGGTTACGTACCATGATGGCATTCAGGCGCCGGTAATTGCAACAAAGTCTCAGATCCTCAGTCTTCTTTTTCATGAACAAAACCAGAGCAGACAAGGGCGAGGTCGAAGGCCGGATAAACCCCCGGGCAAGGTTTTTATCAAGAAAGTCCTGCAACGCGGCCAACTCCGGCTTAGACATGGAGTATAGACGACCCGTAGGGAGCTTCGCATCAGATATCAGGTCGATGGGACAGTCATAAGGCCAATGCAGTGGCAGTTGATCTGCCTCCTGTTCGCTGAAGACATCCGCGAAGTCCTCTAAACCCGGCGGCACGTCCACCTTGGGCGAGCTGGGTACATGGGCCGCACAGACCTGCCGAATGTGGTCGACGCATTGCAGGGACGGAAACATGACCATATTTTGTGACCAGTAGATGTGAGAGTCGTGTGTCCACAGCCAAGCCAAGCCCAAGACCACGGGGAAATGCAGGCCCGAAGTCACGTAAAATTGGATGGCCTCCTCGTGCTCCCCGAGGACCCTCCCTTTGATTTGTTAGCCGCCCTGAGTCCCTCTGGGAATAGGGCGGCATATAAGTGCAATAAAATCAAATCAATCAAATCGAACGCAAAGGTTGCATGGTGGCCTTGATAGGCCCAGACAGAAGCAACCGTCTGTCAATAGTCTCGACCGGCATCAGTGGGTCCACCGGACACAGAGGGACGTCGTACACTGTAACAAATGCCGCATCAATAAAGTTCGTGGTAGCCCCAGAATTGACCAAGGCATGGACCAGAATTCCCTGCAGACTACCCGACAAGAGGATGTGTGCTGCTAGAACCATGTACCGTGGTCGCCCGTCCACCTCTGTTTTGGACTGCGCCCGACCCACCATTTCCTTTGGATCGGGCCCTGCCCGAGTCCTGACACGTGGCTCTGGAGCTGAGGGGTTGGTCTCAGACCTCGCAGCCCCCTTATCCTTCTTAGGGCAAGCTGTGGCTAAATGTCCAAGAGCCCCACAAGAAAAACACAACCCCCTCGTGCGCCGTCTGTCCATCACCGTCCATGCCACTAGGGGTGTGGCGGCACCCAAATCCATGGGCTTCCCCCTGGCAACTGCACTCTCCTGAGGAACCGGCACACTAGTGGTCTCCTGGGATGCACGGCGAAGCCTCCGCCTCTGCAGCTGGGCGTCTATCCGGAGGCACAAGTGGACCAATGCATCGAACATCAGTGGCCTGTCCACCCTCACCAGCTCATCCTGCAAGTCATCGGACAGCGCGTCCTGAAAAGTATCCATGAGGGCTGGCTCATTCCAAGCTGAGTCCTGATTAAGCAGCCGGAATTCACTGACATAATCCTGCAAGGAGCCACTGCCCTGCTNGCGTAGAGCAAAGTGGTGGATTGAATTATCGTATTTTTGAGTATAAGACACATCGGAGTAAAAGTTTTGAAGAGGCAAATTTAAAAAAACATTTTTGCACTCTGCAAAGCTCCCAAAAATGGCCCTTTTTTAAAAAAAGGCCATGGATAGCCTTTAGGAGCCTTGCAGAGTGCTCCGAGGGGGGAAGGAGCAAAGAACAGCCTGTTTTTCACGAAAACGGGCCCATTTTTTGTTTTAAAAAGGGCATGGATAGCCTTTAGACTTATAGAGTGCTCCTGACGGCCCATTTTTTGGCTCATTTCTGCCCTGCCCAGCCCCCAGGAACTTTCTGAAGCCTCCATAAGGCTCTGCACGGACATTTTGGTGAAGCGGCGGGATTTTGGAAGGCAAAAAATGCTGTATTCAGTATATAAGACGCACCCAGATTTTCAGCCTCTTTTTTGAGGGGAAAAGGTGCATCTTATACTCCAAAAAATACAGTGCCTCCATCAATCAGAATAGACCTGGAAGGGACCTTGGAGGCCTTCTAGTCCAACCTGCTGCTCAGTAGGATACCCTATAACATTTCTGACAAATGGTTATCCAATCTCTGCTTAAAAACATCTGTTGTTGGAGCATTCAGAACTTCTGGAGGCAATTTGTTCTATTGATTCATTGAACTGCATCATGACATTCATTAGTTTGAATGTCCACAGCTATGTGAAGTTTCAGAGACACCTTTCCTCATAACTGGTGACCCCCCCCCCCACTCCCTTTCTCTCACCAGGCTCCACCCAGGCCAAGATCAGAGGCTCCGGCAGTCCGGCGTGGTCCACATAACACCGATAGCGGTCCCTCTCCTTCGGGTCAACCTCGATGCTCAGCCAGATATGGTAGGTCCTGTCTGAATTTGGAAGGACACCCCCACGGTAGGTGTCCTGCTCCCAGACCTCTTCATCCTTCTTCCAGGTGGCATCTATCTCTTTGGGATAAAAGCCATAGATTTGGCAGACGAGGGTCTCCATACTGTTGTACTGGATCCTGCGAGATACTTTCACCAACGGGGGCTCTGTAGAGAACACAACACTGCCATTGTTCTGACCCAGCTCCCCAAACATGGCCAACTCTCTGAAGTTAACTCAAAGATTCCTTTATTAGGAGCACCTGCAGCCCCATCAAAAACGTTTTCTCTCACAGCCGGATAATAAGTATGGTCAGCCAGAAGTTGAATAGTCGCATGCCACATCTATTCATCTCTGCCCCATGCCTTTTATCCCTAGAGTTAGGGTTGAGCTTCACTAGCAGTGGTGGGTCTTCCATCCCAAGGATCAGCCCACAGATTTCCACTGCTCTCCTCTCCTTTCCTCTGCCTTCTGCACATCCATGCATCAGGCACTGGTCTCTGCTGTTCCTCTTCTTCCTCATCAGCCACCTCCACACCTGGGGGCTTTTGATTCTCTGTCTGAGGGCTGATGGATGGACCAGGCCCTCTCCCCCCCCTCTCTCTCCCTCCCTCTCTCCCTGTCTGTCTGTCTGTCTCTGTCTGTCTGTCTGTCTCTCTCTCTCTCTGTGACAGCTTCATTCCCTCTTCCCCCTCTGAGCTCTCAGGTTGCCTTGATGCTGATCCTGACTCCCACGCCTCTTCCTCCTCCTCTGATTCAGCTGCTGGAGGGACAGGTGGCCAATAGGCCATTTCAGGCATGTTTTAAGATTGCATTTGTGTAGTGTGGAGGCCTTGCATCACAAATCCAACATTCTCCTGCAACAGCAGCAACCCTTTCCTCCCTCCTTCCTTCCTCACCTTTCCTCAACAACGAATCCTTTCCATAGAACAGGCCCTTCTGAAGCAGCTGGATACATTCCTGCTCCAAAAAGTTATTGATGTTCTGGGTGAAGAACGGCTCCTCTTCCCACCTCTTCTTGATCACCTGAGCGCGGACGTCGACTGCCGTCCAGGTGAGGGTCTTCTGGTCCAAGCTGATGAAGTTCTCCCCATCATAGCCGCACTGGAAGTGCCCCTGCTTGTGGCCATCTTTGCTCAGCTGGCAGCCGATCTTGCACTGCCAGCTGTGAATCCCTGCCGAGAAAAGGTCAGGTAGTTCTTGACTTACAACCTTTCGCTTCATGACTGTTCAAAGCTGCAACGATACTGAAAACATGAGGCTTATGACCGTGTTTCACAGTTATGACCTTTGCAGCTTTCCCATGATCATGTGATCAAAATCCAGATGCTTAGCAACGAGTTCATATTTATGACCGCTGCGTCCCGCGAGGACACATGATTCGCTTTTGGGACCTCCTAACCAACAAAGTCAATGGGGAAGCCGGATTCATTTAACAACTGGGCTACTAATGTATCAATGGCAGTGATTCACTTAACAACGGTGGCAAGAAATGCCGTAACGTGGGACCAAACTCCAAGAAATGTCTCACTTCACAACAGAAATGTTGGGCTTAGTTGTGGTCATAAGTTGAGGACTACCTGGAGGCGCAGAACCAAAAGGTAACATTTGCAGAAGGACCAGCTCTGTGTTCCTATCTTTAAATTCCATTTTTGGGGGGTGGGGAGGACGTTTTCTTCTCCTACTTGGGCACTTATTGATACATATTCCGATGGATATTCCTTCCCCCCAAGCAAAGTTATAAGCCATTTATTTTGATCCGGCTGAAAATCCTCTTTCAGATTTGCCCTTTTTTTCAGCTCATCCTTGATTTGCTTCCAAGAAAATGCAGACACCATAGAGACACTCAAGTCTTTGACTTACAACAGTTCATTTAGTGACTGTTTGAAGTTACAACGGCAACGGCATGGGGAAAAGGGAGTTATGACCATTTTTCACACTTATGACCGTCGCAGCATCCCCACGGTCATGTCATCAAAATTCAGATGCTTGGCAACCATTGTGTAGTTATGACGGCTGCAGTGTCCGGGGTGTGTGTGTGTGTCATGCGATCCCCTTTTGTGAAGTCAGTGGGGAAGCCAGATTTACTTAACAACCATGGTGCTAGTTTAACTACTGCAGTGATTCACATAAGAAATGTGTCAAGAAAAGTCGTAAAATGGAGCCAAACTCACATATCAAATGTCTCACTTAGCAACATAAATGGGCTCAATCATTGTGGCCATACGCCGAAGACTACCTGTCTAGCATACCCCTGCACAGAGATCTACCTTTATTCTCAACAAATCCTCAGTTCCTAAAACAAGCTTAATAAATATTGTCCCAAAGGTGATTTTTTTTTCAAGACGCAACTGGACTTTCTGGGATTTTTTCTTTCTTTGAAGACGTTTCGCTTCTCATTCAAGAAGCTTCTTCAGCTCTGACTGGATAGTGGGAAATTTTGGATGAGAAGTGAAATGTGTTCAAAGAAAAAGCAGAATGTTCCTCTTGGCTTCTAGGTGCTCGGTAAGATTTTTTGAAATGACCATCAGATCATTAGTATTTCTTATACAGTATTTAGCATGCTCTGATGCTAAGGAGTTAGATGTTCTACTCCCCCTCCCCACCTGAAAATAATTCTATTCCAACTGCCACTTGGGCGTGGGTGTGGCCGGCACGTCATTCATCAGACCTGTGGGCTGGGAGTTTAGACAATGGGGCCAGCCTGAGGGAGAGAAGGGGATAAGATAGGAAAGGCCTCTGTGGAGCAAGGGGAGAGGGAGGGAGGGAGGGAGGGAGNTCAATCAAGGAGAGAAGCAACTTAGAACCGAGGAGAGATTTCCTGACAGTTAGAACAATTAATCAGTGGAAAAGAAGTTGCCTCCAGAAGTTATGAATGCCTCAATGCTGGAAGTCTTTAAGAAGATGTTGGATAGCCATTTGTCTGAAACGGTATAGGGTTTCCTGCCTAAGCAGGGGGTTGGACTAGAAGACCTCCAAGGTCCCTTCCAACTCTTCTATTGTATTGTATTGTATTGTATAACAATTCAATATTTCATTTGAGAGATAAAGATTCTAGTTTGAATTTTCCTTTTATAGGATCTACTAATCTTCCTGGACGCTCATTACAAAAATGAAATTACCTGCAAGCTCCATTTGACCTGAAGAATTCATCTATTCTATATTTTATTTTTATAGAAATGTACATTAGGATTCTAATACTTGATCTGGTTTGATTAAACACTATTCGAGATAAATCTTTTTTGTTGTTTCTATTTATTATACTTTTTTCCCTGGGTAATCTTCCCTCTCCATAACTATGAGTTCTTTGTGACTTCATCTTGATCAACAACTCATACAGAACTGCTTTGTGAAGCAATATGGCACTCTCACTTATACAAGTCACTAAGTGATTATATTGATTCATTTTGCATGTTTGAATTGTTTTCTACTGTCCAGTATATCTGGCTTCTATTTAAGCCTAAGTCAACTGTCTTTGAAGGATTTGAGGCAACCTGATATACTTTCTGAAACTAATTGCATTTTTTCATAATGCAAGCATCTTGCTGAGGCAAATCCATGCTGCCTCAATAGGCCTACAATTTGGTGCTATCCAACTTCAGAGATCCAACTTTTGAATTCTGCCCTTTTGGGACAGATAATAAATATCTAGGAAACACTGCAAAATGTGCTAATTTACCAGTATTGGGAAGATGAAAAAGACATTCTATTTTAAATTCTACTCTTTGACACATCTGCTCTTGAATTCTACTTTTTTCACAGATCCGTTCAGTGAACCTTTGTAAAACTTCACCTCTTCACCATTGTAGTAAAGCAGCTCCACCCACCCATTAGAACAGAGAAATGCAATTTGTTTATCATTTAAAAGAAATGCAATTCATTAACAGAGGGATGCATTTTGTTTAGTCTCAAAAAGTATCATGAAAAAGGCCAAAGTCCATAAAAGTTTTGTACTGAGTTGTGCAATTGGTCAAAGGAGTTTGCAGGTTTAGTTGCAAGCAAAAGTAAAATCAGGACTTCAAGTCTGAAATGTAATGGAATTATATTTAGACTGCAGTTCACTTACTCCTTGTTCACTGGCTGAATTATACTATATTCATTGACATTTACCATTTACGTCACAAAATTATCAATTGATTATGAATTATTAGAATAAAACCATATAAAACTAAGCCACATCAAGTAAGCATTGTCAGGTTCATGTATTTCATATTTTATTTGTGAGGGTTTTTTTCTTTTCACGAAAAACGTCGGACTGTTTTTCAGTTAAATGTAAAATGACTTCCTGATGATATAAAGGAGGTGGGTATTGCCTGGGTAGTGGAAAGGTTTGTAGATGGTAGAAGCCATTGTGCTCAAATCTACCTTGTCCTCTCCATGGAAGAGACAGAATTTGTCATTTTTATTCCAGAGTGTTTTATGTTCTTGAATTTCAGTTTTCACTTAAATCTTGCTTGTAAAATGAATAATATTGGAAAGCATTGCATCAGGCAGATCAGTCATGCAGTTAAAACATTCATTACAAGTGTGTGTGTCTGTGTGTGTATACACACTTTTGACTTGATGACTGCCTAGACTAGTATGAGTATTTGGCAAGACTTTCTCTTGCCAAATGCTCAGACTAGTTTGCTCTTGTCTTCTTCCTAAACTGAGAGAATGAGTGATCCAAGTTCACTGAGCTGGCTTCTTGCCTAATGCAGAGCTAAATTCATGGTCTACTGGTTCTAGCCTGGTGCCTTAACTACCACACCGAAATGACTCTCCATTGCAAACGTGCATCTCTCTATATTAATGAAATATGTGGGACGCTCTCACCTGCTCTGATCGTGTGACAGGATATAAATTCACTGCCCAAAGAATGTTTGTTAAGGTCAAAACCTGTACATGCTCTTCTGTAGATATGCAGGAACAAAACCAATCTGTTTGCTTATTCACTGTTAAGTGGTATAAATGTGCAATGGAAGTGGAAAAGAACACAGTGTTGTAAAGTTACCTTATCTTCAATCTTGCTTTCTCTGCAAGAGCAGAAAGGAGGAGAAGTGTTTACACAGTAGCTGCACTGGCTTCTGGGTGCAGTTCAATGTGCTGTTTGTCCGTTTTAAAGCCCTTCATGGTTCAGCGTCTGAATAACTGTGGAACCACTTTCCCTGAATATCTGCCCATAGATCAAGGAAATGAGCTTTCTTTATGTCCCCTTGATTAAGAAAGGGCAGTAAAAATGCCTTTTTATCACTGCCCCCTTTCTCTGGAATACCATTCCCCAATGTTCAATGGACTCGTCCTTTTAGCATTTAGGAAGTCAATTAAAACGTTATTTAAACAGACCCTGAGGTCTGAATGATTGTTTTCCCCCCTTCAAATGATTGGAAGATATTTGTTTTTGATGATATTTTAACGCCTAGGTTTTATATAGGCAAATTTATTGAATTGTTTGCACGACTGTATATTGTCTTTTGCTTTTATCCCAGTGGGAATTGTACTTCATTCAGTTCCTTTGAATTGGACAAGCCTGTAGTCCTATACGATAATTAAAATAAAAATAAAAGCATGTGCTTTTTGTTGATCTTCCACTTTTCTACTTGAGAACTAACAAAATATTAAAAGAAGACAAGAAAGTTATGTAAATAAATACTAAAATAGATTTATCATAAAAAATAAGCTGGATGAAATGGATAATCTTAAGAGTTTTAGAGGAATATTGACTTTTTAAGGAATCCTTTTGTAACCTGATGTTCATTCATCTTGTCAACCTTTTAAGGTAGACCCTGTGGTAAATAGACCCTGTGAGAATGAGTGAAACACTATGATTTCAGATAAATAACCATAATTTATGGTTATAATAATTTCAAAATAAGACTCTTGAAAGCCTGGCAAAGTTTTTCTTCCCCCCCCCCTTCTTACACTAGAGTGGGGCAAAGTGAAGTTGCTTGGTCATTCCCATAATTTCCTGAGCTAAGCTGATGTAAATACTGCCTAACTTCCTCAAAGTTATTTCCACAATCTACTATAATTTCTATATGATTTGAAGGCTCCTTGGCAGTTTGAGAATGACTGCTGAAAATTAAAACTTTTTTTCTGGAAGTTACAAGATGTTTTACTAGTTTGATATGCATTTCTTTGCCCTGATTAATTAACACCCAAAAGAGTCTTATTATTTTAATAGAATTCTGTAATTTCGCAACACAATCCTGTACATTGTTACTGAATGTAAATCACATCAAGTCCAATTGGTTTTTTTTACTAGTTATGTATTTTATAGGGTGTATTTATTTTTTGGATGGTCAGCCACAGTTCATATTGTAGTAATATCATAATTTTTTGATGACGAATAATAATTTATATTCCACTTTTCTTCAGGGAGCTTGAGATGGCTCTTTTGATATTATCACAACTGGGGTAGGTTGTGTGGATTGTGAGAAAACAACTGATCCTACATCACTTCATGAGTTTCCCTGGCTGGAGATGGACAGGGATATGATATTCTCTGTCTTAGTTCAGTGGGTTCTTTTGGGTGAATTTTCTTTTCATATATGACAGAATACAGAATACAGTATTTAGAAAGAAATGAACCTACTGACACAAACATCTACTTAATATTAAAACATATTACTTCATCTTATACGAAGGTATTTTAGAAAAAATTGAATGTTAGGCTTTGACTTGTGTTACAAACATGTTACTGCCAAGTTGTCTTAATGCCCTAATTTTCTTAATTTCCTCTGTTTCCCCAAACAGAATCAAGGCAAAGCTATCTTGAGTCTCTTTCTCCTATTCTTGCCATTCCCATTATAGTAATTTGTTTTTCATGAAAAAGGCTTGCATTCCTTCATTAAAGGTTTTTTATGTACTCTACAGTCCTAAACAGAACTGAAAATATGTGTGATTTAATGATAAAAGATTATTAGTTCAAACAAGCTTCATCAACCTTTAGAACAGATTGAGGGGAGGGGTATAGTTCCCCTCTTGTTAAGAGTGACATACAGTATATTTTAATTTCTTTGAGCAGTAAAAGTTTATATGTAAAATGATTAGTTCCTCCTTAGGAATAAAGTTCCTCGACGCCAGTGAGGTTTACTGTAATTTAGAAGAAAGTCACAGAAGTGGGATAAAGATGAAACTCTTGTTATCACAGTATTTTCATTGTCTTAAAAATCATATGTAAGCTATCATTTTACTTAGCCCTTTTCAATACAATTGAGAAGATTCAACAAAATTGAAATGGAGGCCTTCATCAGCATCAATGTATATGAGTGACACTGTCAAAACAGCAGCAATAAGTGTTTTGATTTTGCTGTCTGGCTAAATAATTCATTTACTTTCATAGCTATAAAAAGAAGGTAGCAGAAAATGATAAAATACTTATAACATAGTTACTCCAAATATTTCTTATACAGGGCGGGGCATAACCTTTTCCTAGGGGGTCACAGCAACACTTGTAATAACAACACAAATAATTCATACACCATTCGAAAGCCCATCAAAAACTGAGTTTATTGACACGATTTAATAGTCAGTATGACCACCATTAGCCCTTCGAACAGCATTCAAACGAGGTGGATAAGAACACAACAAATCTTCAAACAGTTCCGTTCGATTTTCCAGATTTTTCAACACAGTTTCCAAATTCATTCTCAAAGTTTCAACCGAATATCGATTTTGACCTTGCTCTTGAATCATCAGAGCTTCCACTTCATCCTTAATTATGGCCCCAATGTTCTCTGCCGGATTGAGATCTGGCGAATTTCCCGGCCAGACGTCATTGCCCCAAAATTCGACATTGTTTTCCTTTAACAATTGCTGAGTCGCATTTGCACGCATGCAAGGAGCTTTGTCATGAAGAAAGACAGCCTCACCAACCACCAAGACATTGTCTGGATCACTGAGAAATGGAATGACATTCTCCAATAAAATTTTCTCACGGAAATAACTGCCATCCCAGGATTCCCCTTTATCCTTCAAAACCCAATGCAGTTTCTTGGCTGTGAAAATGACGAAAATCCCGATGCAAGTCGGATTGCGAACGATTTGTCGATATCGTTCATGTTTGGCGATGTCGTCGACGTCTTTAGCCCAAATTCGATCGTTCTGGAAATTCGGTTTTCGAATGGCATAAACGAAGAATTCGTCAGATGGCGCCAAATGAAGAAAATCTTCCTCGGTCCATTCAGACAACCAATCGCACAACCAAAGCCAATCTTGAACGTGTGTTTGAGTTTTCAATGGTTTGCAAATGACGTGGAATGGCTTCAAACCTTCTCGTTCTCGATATCGGCCGATTGTCCTTTGATCAACTCGTTTTCCACGAATTTGAAGGATTTCTTGGGCCACTTTTCGGTTTCCTTTTCGTTGTTTGCGACTGCCAGTTGCAATGATGGCTTTGCTTTCTTGGGACAGTTGCAGAGGACACCCTTCTCCAAATTTTGTGAAACATTCTTGGGCTGTTTTGTTCCAATTATCAGTAACCCAATCCGGATGACGTTTCAATTTGTTTGCAATCCATTTTCGATTGATAAACGTCGCTCCAGCATCGCGAGCCTCTCGAAAGGCAATGCATTTTATTCTGTCAATGATCCTTTGTTCTTCCGAATCGAATTTTCCAGCCATTCTTAAAGCAAATTTAACATTTAATAGCTCATTCAATTCAGTTTTTTATGGGCTTTAAAATGAGGTGTCGCGGAAGTTGTAAACTGCTGTCGATCTTGCTGTGACCCCCTAGGAAAAGGTTATGCCCCGCCCTGTATACTTCAATTTGTAACAGTGGAGAAATTGTTATTTCATGATGATGTAATCATGCTGTAAATTTACAGTCAGTACATATTTCTAAACAGCTGCTTGAGGAAGATTAGGCAGTGATTAAAGTGTTTCTTTGACCTGCCTTAGGCTGAGTGCAACTTTCATCAGGACTAAGATTGAATCTCTACAACATTTACTGTTAATCTGAATGATGCAATATGAAAATGGGAAATACAATCCAAATCAGCTATAAGACAAGCACTGATATTAGTTTGCAACTATTGTTGGAGATACATTTTATTCTAGTTTTATATTGCTACCACTTTTTAAAAACAAATTACCTGGAAAGAAGCCCCACTGAGCTGCTGTGTGGTCAAGGAACAATTACATGCCTCATTAAGCAGAGCACGGAGTGCTACATGAGGGCAGGAAGCCCTGGAAGACCTAGCGCAGTGCCAGGCCTGCCTGCCCCAGGCCTTCTAAGGTGTCCCCCACCCCTTAAGACACCCATGCTCTACTTCAAGAAACTCCACAGTTATGGGCCCCTTTTCTCCCCCACTGGTTACCCACAGGGATTGGGCTTCCTCCCCACTCTACATCACCCATTACACGCTTATCTTTTGAAGATCTCCAGAACATTCCGTAGCATTGTTCGGGCCACTTTAGGGAAGCAGAATGGATTGCTTATTTGGTTGGCCATGTAGTGTGATTCCAGAAGTAGTGGTCATTTCCCAAGTGACAACAATTCAAATATGGCGGGGGGGGGCGGCTGCTTCCAGAATTACACCACGCAGCTGCACCACAAAGCAATCTATTTTGCTTCCCTAACCTGAGCTCTGGAGATCTTTGAAAGATAAGTGAGGAGAAGGGGGCCTGGTGGGGTGGGAAGCAGGTCTGAAGCTGGTGGGGATCTGGTGGGGGTGATGGGATAGAGATGGGAGGGGAGTCTGGCAGTATCCTTGTGGCTGGAAAGGACAAATGACCATGGGACTGCTGCAGCGGCTGTAATTTTAGAACCAGGTCATTAAGTAGATTTGGGGGGATCCTCTGTAACTTTGAATAAGTTTGCTAAGTGAGCAGTTTTTAAGGCGCAGACACCCTGGCTGTGCAACTATAGCTCTAATTCTCTTTCATAGATGCAAATTCTGAGACAATATAGTTTTTTTTTAAAAAAAAAGATTATATGGCTGGGTAATATAGCTGTAATTATAAATAATGTGGTTTTTAAAAAAATATTTCAGGGATATTACAGTATTAGTGACAAATATCCCTAGCTCTGTTGTAGGATGAGGGTAAAAGTTCATTCTCCACGCTTTGTCACCAGGCTAGGTAACATTTTCAGTTCACTTCCCTAAACTCTGTTGAAGATGTTACCTACTGTAGTCTGGTGAAGAAATGTTCAGAAAACAATCCACAAGGTCAACGAATGAACCTTCACCCACCCATTACAGTATACCTTTGCCTTCAATTCAACATAATTAAGCTTGGTCCCACACATAAACTCATATATTTTCAGGGAAATATACCAAATTATAGGGCACAAGGTTCACTGAACACTTGATTTACGATCAAATAAACATGTATAGGTTGGTGCTACAAACTCCACTACACACAAACCCCTCATCAATCTAAATACTGTGTTTTTCATATTGTGTTATGTACTTAATTTCAAAAGCAGATTCAGAATTTTAACATTCATGTTACTGAGTTGACAGGGGAAAAAAAGTTCCATATAGTCCTCCCATTAATGAAAGAAGAAACCTTTTATTTTAACCAATCAATAAAAGTTTCAGGCTGCTTATTTTGCATTCGTTTTGGCTTCTTGCACTGCAATCTCTCTCAAATGATTTGTTTTCTTCGTGGAAGAAAGTTCTGCTCTTCCAAGATTAAGTAATTTGTACTCCCAAAGCTGTTATGTAATCAACACACAACCAGGATGTAGCGTGCGAAGACTAGTGATTCACGAATGTGTTCTCAGCACTTTTTTTCTTTATTGAGCAAGAGGAAGGAGGCATGTAAGAATCTGACTGCATAAAACAAGAGCTGCTTTTTGAAAGGATTCATGACAAGGCAGAGACAGCCAGCAAGAGAAAAGAATGGCTGAAGAAAATGACAGTTTGGTGAAACAAATGAATAAGATATTTGAGGAGAATAAAGACAACAAGAATGAAGAGCTTTTTTTTACTTTCAAAGGAGTTTTGTATCCTAATCGCCTTTGTAGTGCAGAAACCTTTGAAGCACTGGAAACTTTTGAAGCAAGAGAGGATGATATGCTAGTAATTGCTTATCCCAAGTGTGGTGAGTATTTGCTCTTGTTCCTTTCTTTTGCAAAGGAAAGAGGAACATTATACTGTGGCTTTTTCTTCACCTTTATCAAGTTTATTCCCCATTTTGCTGCTTCTGCGATAATCTCAAATTAATCTACAATATATTACAATAGACTCCCCCAACATGACTTCCTGAAAATATCTTGAGTTTCCATTGTCATCACCCTCAGCTATATGGTGGGAGGGTAGCATTTGTCAATTCCAAAAACAATCTAGAAGGGATGTGTTTGGGGAAGGCTGGGCAATGGATTGGTACCAAGTGAAAGTGCTCAGCTTTCTATGATCATAAACTGCCTGTTATATTCTGTTTAAAACAACATTCTTTAATTTTTGTATCCACCCCTCAAAAGTAATGCAATTAGATTAGAGAGCAGCATTTAAAGATTTAGATCCTATGATGATATGTCTTACCCTGTTAGCTGATCATTTTATTTTGGGGGGCTAAGAATAGAGGCAGTCCTTGATTAGCAAACATTCATTAACTGTTTGCAATTATAACAGCACAGAAAATAGTGACTTACAACTGGTCCTCTTACGTATGATCTTTGCAGCATTCTCCCTGTCACGTTATCAAAGTTCAGATGCTTGGCAATATGCATGTATTTACAATTGCAGCGTTCTGGGATCATGTGATTGCAATTTGTGACATGCAAATTCAATGGGGGAAGCCACATTCCCTTATCAACTATGTTGTATATTTTAACTACAGTAATTCACTTAGCAACTCTGGAAAAAATGGTTGTAAAATCACATACCTCACTTAAAAGGGTTGGTCTAGAAGACCTCCAAGGTCCCTTCCAACTCTGTTATTCTGTTAACAATCACCTTGTTTGGCAACAGAAATTCTGGACTAAGTTGTAATTGTTAGGACTATATGTACACAGATTTTTTAAAAAGCATGTCTTCAACCCCAACCCTTTAAAAAATATTGTTGATTTGAAGCTAGACATTTTAACTACACCTAACTGAATGCAAAATTTAATTTTTAGAAAAAGATTATCAGGAAATAATTGAACAAATATTCCTAGCCTCGTTATATCAAGAAAGGACATTTTTATGTTGGTTGGTCACTGTAATGAAGACCTGGTTGGCTAGATGATGATCCAAGAGTCATATGCAAGAAGACAGTGTAGAAAATAAAGGAAAAATAACACAGGCTTGTACATGTTGGTCTCTAACCAGTGGTAGGATTCAAATAATTTAACAACTGGTTCTCTGCCGTAATGATTTCTTCCAACAACCAGTTCATCAAACTGCTCAGAAGCTTAACAACCGGTTCTCCCAAAGTGGTGTGAACTGGCTGAATCTCGCCACTGGCCCTAACTCCTAGAATTGGATGAATGAATTATGTTGAGTTGAGATACATGTGCCTTGAAAAAATAGGAATTCATACTGAGAGTACTCCTTAATTGCTCGTTGCCACTGGCACCCTGGGAAGCCAAAGCATTCTTAGTTGTTCCTGTCACTATGAGCAGTGCAAAACAGGGACAGCCTGGCCATAGTAATTCAGACTTTGGTCATTGGCCACAGTCCAACAAGGTGAAACTGCCTCCGTGAATGATAAACAACTTCCAAAATGGCAAAATGTAGTTACTATATAACATCCAGAACTCAAGGAAATATGGCATTTATAGGAATTTTTGCCTTTCCATGCCTATGGCTCCTGAACTTCTTTGAAGAGAAAAGGTGGCACTTTGATATATTTCTCAGTTGTCCCTCAATTGATTTTTTAAAATCCTATTAGATAAAACCATACAGATCCACACAATATAAATAAAGATTAATACAGAGGCCTGAAACAAGAGGCCTGCATGCAAACAATTCAATTTTTCTTTTGCATGAAATGGGAAGGATTTTTATTACTGCAGACTTGTGGCAGCTCAAGTTAAAGCAATGGTTCTTTGCTTTTGTTCTCAGCCTTTTTAAGTTGGCAGATTTAAGGATGGTTGTGGATTGTCTTCAGGCTGCTATTGTTACTGATGGACTGGGAAGTGGAAGAAATGGTGTGGTGAGGCTATTATAGATAACCTCCTTTGACACATCTTTTAATATGCTCTGCAAATCTATTGCAATCTGGCCCTGAGGCTGTTTGAACATTTTATCGCAGTTGGTGACTAGAGGTCTTCCCAAATTCAGCACCATGTTCTTAAAATTGGAATCAACAGAGGTGCTCACCTCTGAATCTTAGAGAACCTATGGAAAAGAGACAGGAGAAGGAAGAAAAGAGAAAAGATGATGCTTTATAAAGAGGTAAGGAAGGTATTGAATGCACCAGGAGATGCTGATGGTAATGTCACCTTGAGAACGGACTCAATAGGTGAATAAAAATGCCAAATACAGTCTAAACATCTGGCTGATAGCGTAGCCAACCACCATCATCATCATAATCTTGTGAGACTTCAAACGGACCATCATTTGGAGCACAACACGCCAGATATCATGGTTGTAGAGGGCTGAAGTGTACAGTTTATTGATATCGCTGTTCCTGGAGATGCCAGAGTCGAAGAAAAAGAACTAGAAAAAAATCATGAAATATCGCAACCTGGACATCAAAACCACAAGGCTATGGATGAAGCATGTAACAGTGATACCCATCGTCATCGGGGAATTTGGCACCATGTCCAAGAATTTTACAAGATACATCAACAAA